AGATGACACTTGGCAGCAGATTAAACACTTTTTTCTTTTTTGTTTCTGATATGTGCTATAAGTGTGTTTATCCTCTTCCCACGAAAATTTTTACAGTAAAAGGTCTATTTATCACGTACGAATGGGTCTAGCCTAGACGGATCGATTTGCGGAGAAAGTGGTTTCGAAGACGCGTTTCACGTACAGAAAAATCAAGTTTTTCTCACTAATTTCAACATAAAAAGTCTTCCTCTTATCTGATATTTTTTTCGTTCATTTGTTTTTGAGTATCATATTCAAAAACGAGTTTTGGGCTTCTCGTCGTGTAAGTGGATATCAGTCAACTATTGACTTCCGCCGTTGATGTCTCTATGATATGATATATTTTCTTTCCCATTCTCATAGAATTTTATGTGTCAACAAACAATATTTTCGATGTGTATTTTTTGATTTTGAGATAAAAAGTCATTGAGATAAAAAGTCATCACAAGTCATTCAGGTGGAAATTTAGAAAAAAAACAGTGAGCTTGCTTTTTCGTAATTTAAATAGTGTTTCATATACTTCAAGTGACGGCCGATTTAATGGCGAAAGAATTTTTATTCTATGATTTTTCCTTCTATGATAGATTTGAAATGCAAAAACACCATGTAAACGCACTATTTTGAAGGATAGTAAATTAGAATAAAACCGAGATCAAATTTGGAAGAACACAGTCAGACGAATATGAAATAAAAAAGAATTTTGTTTTTCGAGTGAAACTTAAGAGTTTTGGAATGGATTCTTTCGAAAACGGTCTAGGCTGTAAAGGCTCTCTCCGGTATTTTAAGAACGCGCAGCTTAGCGCAGGTCTGAACTAACATATTTTTATACCAAAATGTTCCTCGCGAGGCCGTGCATCTATGATGAATGCACAAAAGTCCGCATATTTTCCTGGACTGAGATATTGGTTTTTCAAAATTCCTCAGTTTTTGAGGTAAACTGACCTTTTCGCACTCAAAAAACATTTTTTCCTACATGATATATATATATATTCGGATTCACCGTGAAAAACTGCTAAGATGGTAGATAATTCATCTGAATTCGGTCCTTCCGTTGTGAATTCTGTAAACTTCTTAGATTTGGGATTCACACGAAGAACTTTCCGCTGAAAATTCAAAATTCAAGAGAGAAACCGTGGAAGGTCTGAAAATACTGCTTCTATAGGTGATCGGCAATCCAATGGAATGGTTTTTCAGTTTAAAAACGTCTTTCAAAGGGTTTTCCACAAATCCGGTCTCTGAAAAACCCACTGAAAAACTTTGTCGAAACTGGAAAACTATTTCGTTGGAAAGAGAATCGTCGAAAACCTATAGAAAGTGGTTCAGATAATTTCAGTCCACTTATAAAGTTAATGTCCGCCTGCTCTAGCGAAAAATGCCCACTGTGTGTGCGTAATGAAAGCGCGGTGATATCAAGCTGAGAATGTAACAGATCATCGAGTTTAGACAATCTGATATTTGTTTCACAAGTATTTTGCTCCTGTTTGGTTTTTCGAACACAATAAGTGAACTGCTAATCAGAAACTGCATGCCACTCACGAGAAAAATTGTTCTTAGCGCAAAAATCGCTCTGCAAGGCCAGCGGTTTTAAAAATCGAAGAAACTTTTTAAAATTTTTTCGCATCGACAGTTTTGTGCACAAATGTTTACTCTACAAAATAACATGTTGCAATCTTTCTTACGATGGTTTGTGGATGAATATGAATTTTTTAGCGGAAAGACAGATCCTCTATTAATCGACCAGTGGTAACCGGTTCTATTTTAGAGAAAAAATTAATATCTCATCGACAAACCATCGTAAGAAAGATTACAACATCTTATTTTGTAGAGCAAACATTTGTGCAAAAAACTGTCGATGCGAAAAAATTTTAAAAAGTTCCTTCGATTTTTAAAACCACTGGCCCCGAGAGCCCCCAGAAAACAACCAGTGCGTGCGTAATAAAAAGTGGAAATGTTGGCCTTAAACCGTATGTTCTATAAAAAAAATTTTGGTGTAAAATGAAGAGAATTGCATAAGGTATAAGAAACGTTCAACGTGATTGGAATTTGACTGTTAATAATGACTCTAGCTTAATTATTTTGATAATTTTAACGAAAAAGTGTGTTTAAAATCGACAGTGTTCGTTGTGTGCACAGAAACCGCTGAAAATATTTTATTTTCTTCCGGTTTTCACGTATGTGATAGAGTTCAGCATTCTGAAGAATTTTATCATTTGGTATAATACTAAAATCGACTTGTGAGAGACGGTAGAGGTTTGTCTCTGATAATCTCGTGTATTTCAGTACAGTATCTTTATTTACCCCGAAGAAATTACACGAGTGTCTCTAATTATCCCAAAACATAAAAAATGAAAACAGAAAATTTCTAGTGCTCCTGATTATATGCTAATTAGCTTACTGAGTTTAAATGACAATGAGCTCAAAACTATACGGTAGAGAGAGGAAGATCCGTGCTATAAAATGAGGTATTTTTGAACTAATTATCTCCTAAGCTTAATTCACCAGTAATTATACATTAAAACTCCATGTATTTGAATGGAGTGCCTCTATTTATCCCAAGCGTACAAGTGAAGTGTCTCTAATTACCCCGCACCGGGTAATTAGAGACACTTTTATAGAGCTCTTCGCATTTTGGATCTGGCTCAAAATTGGCCGGAGATCTTCAAAAGATTTTTACATAAGTGTGTAGAAAAATGTTCGGTCTACCACCGTATTCAATAGCAAGTTTTTCCGACCAAAAACGGCCGAGAAATAGCAGAAAAAGGATGAAAATTTCTAAGAGTGTCTCTAATTACCCCGAAGTACTCTATGTATGAGAGGATCGTAACTTTTCTGTACAATTACATTTTTTACACATTTTTACACTCATTTCTGTTCCATTGAACCGGTTTCCAAAAAGTTTTTATTCTCTTACTTACATTTTGGCTCACTACCATAGAAAATTTCGCAACGATATTTCATCACCTCACTGAGATGCGTGGGTCAAAAGTCTAAAATACCCGTTTTTCCCATGACTCACCCACAGAACATGGATTTTTTTAAGGAAAGAAAGAAAGAAAAATGAAAAAAAACAGCACATTCAGTAGAGCTTGCGACTCTATCCAACCATGTGATTTACTTCTGGTTTTGTTTACTTTTTCCTTCTCGTGCATGCACAAACGAAGCTACAAATCAGAAACGGTTTTCGCGACATAAGGAAACATTTTTTAGAAAAAATAATATGACGAAAAGGTAGAATGTAGAAACGGTTTACAAAATTGTTTATAGTTTTCGTATAGAATCTCTTTTGAATGGCAAAAACTGTGAAAACGATTTTTCCAGGCACTGTGAAGCTACAAATTTTAGTGAATAAAGCTACAAAATCAACAAGTCTCGTAAAAAGTTTTCTGCGCCAAAGAACGCAAGTTGTTTCTCGGATATCTCAGCCAAAATGAGTCTAGCAGTTGGGAAATTTTTACCACAGACTCAGTAAACGATGGGGAATAAGATGTACGTTTCATATTTAGGTATAATTTCGTTTTTTTACCCGTTGTACAAACAAATTACGATTCTCTCATATATATTGATAATATATCCATCTATAGCGATCTATTTTCACATCTAGCTCAGTAAATTGTGAACGACAAAACTTCCTCGCGATAATAGATGTGGTCCGTTGGTCAAATTTTTGGTGTGTGCAAATTTCCAATTTCGTGTTATAGTGGTTATGGGAGAGTTAAATACAGCCGATGGTGAACGAAAACTTTCAATCTGTCTCTCTACTATGATGAACTCAATTTAAGGTGAAACATAAACAACTACATATAATGGGCATGAAATGTCACTCTGAGGGTTGTTCAAACAGTTTTCATTCAAAAGCCAGACTGTGGCTCAAATTTTTGCGAGAATCTCAAACGTATTAGGCAGGAGAATTTCGAGAAATACAATATTTGACAGTGACATATACAGGTCATTGGAATGTCATACAAATTGAAATCCCTCATATACTGTATGTGAGAGAACGGCAAAGATATTTCCTGTTTGTATCTGTTTAGACGTACGCCCCCATGCAACATGCGCCCTCAAACATGAGTGGTTGTAACCAGAGCCCTGCAGGTTAAACCTACCGTGACCTCACGTAATATAATCTATAGCGAAAAGAATTCCGGCAATATATATAGATAATTTTCTTAGAATTATGCAGAGTATTTAATTCTTGTATCTCTAATTTATGTTGGACAAAGGTTATAGGATATGGCATTGAACAGAAGTGTAAGCAATTGTGTGTGTAAATCATGACAGCTTTGAAATAACTTTTAGTAAATTGTATTTAGAAGAAAATGTTGAAGAAAAGATGAATTTTATATATTTTCTCTCTTATAAAAACATCAACAAGAAGCACTTTACATTCTGCGATTGCTCTGTTTATTTGTTTCTCTGTTTATTTTGACGGCTTTCCTAATCATATGTATGGAATTTAAAATGAAATATAATAAATAAAAATATGCTGTTATGTTACAGGCCATTTTGTTGCTATACATTACCGCGAGAATACGTGAGTCAAGCGAGAAAGGCCAAAACACAAAAATAACTAACATATGCCTTTTATGCTTCGATGCCCTGACAAGATGTTTTGATCATTTCAGGCAAAAACGTAGGCCAGGAAGTGCATAAATGTGTTACAAAACATATATAATCATACACGAGATTACACCTTAAGTTGTGCTATTCGCATTTGTCTATGTTATGTTTCTTCAGATAGCCAAGTCAATGCTTTGCGATTCTTGACTATCTGTGATGCTTATTACAGGTGACTAATAAACATAGATTAAACGAAAAGCGATGTATGACTCAAATGAACCATGATCATTACGTTTCACCTATTCTCTCATTATATAAACAATCCACTTTTCTTATTTCGATAAAAATTATTCATGTGTAAACAGGTTATAGTGAAGAGAAAAAGTACTGTCCTATTATACAAAATTTAACGAAAAAATAACATGAAAATACTCATATTAGTCGTCTCAGTTTTAACACTAGCCTGCAATTCCAATTCGGATCAAAATTACCAGAAATTAGCTGTAAGCCTATTAAATTTACTTGATCGACCAGATACTTCATCAATATGGTCACCAACAAGTATTGGTCTAGCATTAAGCATGTGTGCAGCAGGTGCCAAAGTAAATACTCTCCATCAATTGCTTTTTGCTCTCGATGCTGTGACAATCGGTCAATTGAACACTGAATCTAAAGAGATCATTAGTAATGTGATTGGAAAACTCTCAAAATCTCAAATAATTGTGGCCGATCGTCTATATGTTCAAAATACATACAAACTCTATCAGAATTATAAGCATGATCTAAATACGTTCTACAACGCCGATATTGTGCGAATAGATTTTTCTATGCAAAATGCTGCCGCTAATACTATTAATAAATGGGTTTCACAACAAACAAAAAATTTGATCAAAAATATTATTTCATCCCATGATGTAAACTCACTCACTCGTCTAATTCTTATCAACTGTCTTTATTTTAAAGCTCAATGGCTTATACCATTCAGCAATGATTCAACAACAACAAAACCATTTCAAATAACCAAAACAAATACTATTAATGTTCAAATGATGCAGATTAGCAGTGAGTCTTTTTCCTATGTAAATGCAACAGACAGTATTAAGGCACAAATTGTTGAAATTCCATTCAATACTACAAAAAACAATAAAAACCTTCAGCTTGTATTCACTATTATTCTACCAAATCAAGGTGTCACATTGGCAACTGTTCAGAAAAAACTCAGTTCAAGCACCTTAACAAGACTTTTAAACTCTGTTAAACAAGTATTTATACAATTATCATTACCAAAATTTAAAACTCAATCGACATTTGATCTGACGAAATCACTTCAAACTACTAATGTAACTGATGTTTTTGATAAGACGAAAGCTAATCTAAAAGGTATTAGTCCAAGTCAACCGCCTCCTCTTTACGTTACTAGCGTAATTCATAAAGCAGTTATCGATGTCGACGAAAATGGTGTGACGGCAGCAGCTGTAACGGCAGTTCTTATTGCTGGAGGATCCCTACCTACTGAAAAAATAGTGTTCAATTGTAATCGACCATTTTTATATTTAATTCTAGAAAAAACCAGTGGACTCGTTCTTTTTGTTGGAACCTATTATGGAAAATAACATTTTTCTTCGTTATCATTCATCGTTTTCCCCGACGATCATCGAAGCAAACAGGCAGATTCTGCAGCTCTATATTCATACTTGAAGATCGGCTGTTTTGTGAATTTTTCTACGAACCTACTGTATTCTTAATTTAATTTTTTCTTTTCTGATCATAGTAAGATTAGATCTTACCTTGGATTTTTGCAATTATTGGCCAAAAGTGGAAAACAATTAACAAAATGAGAGATTTTTTAGTTCAGGCAGTCAAAGTTAACATACGCGAAAGTTTAAAATAAATAGTTGGAGATAAATATCACTACATTTCTATTTAGTGTGTATCTTTGAACATCTAATCTTTATTTGGTAAAAATTCATCTAGTCATGATGAGGAACAGAATCTACAATAAAAACTGGATTTGAGGCTAATCAAATCCAGTGATTTTAAATAGAATAGACTTACAAAAAAAACATATGTGTAGTAAAGCCCAAGAGAAAGGCGATCCAGAGCACCATAGAATCTAAAACACTAAAAATTCCAACACTCCACATGCTTTGAAAGGAGGCTCCGTGCGAAAATCTAGAATGTGGTAAAAAGACGATAAAACCTTCGGAAAATAAAATCGTTTTTAAATCCGATTTCCGGATTCTTCAACCAGAGTTTTACCGATGAACATAAGTTTTTAGCCTTTAGAAACCACTAGAATTAGTATATTCATAAAAATTGTTCTAAACATGATTTTCATTTGTATAAAGTCATGTTTCATTATCAGTAGGTAAAAGCATGTTAAGAAAGTTGTTTAAATAGCATATGTAAAATTATCAGTATTTTAGCATGCATAGGTTGTTTATGACAGTCCAACATCTTTGCATTCTTGATGGTTTACAGAGTGCAGTCGCAAAAATTATCATAAAACATTATACAACGAATGAATCAGACATAGAGAAATCAGCATATTCAAACGATGCGTGGTATGCAAAATGTGAAGAAGCAGAAAGATAACATAAAACGAAAGCACGAAATTAAATGATTAAATTAGTTTCCTAATTTTTGTCAGGTAAAAGATTTCCAGGCAGAAAGGGTCCGTTAGAAACGAGAAGTAAGACGTCATTTATACGTAATTAAATATTCAGCGTAGGCTTGATCATCATGGTACGTTACCCAGATATGGTGGTCACCAGTGGTTGAATCATAACCATCTGGCGCGGTAACCATCGACTGAGTTCCAGTTATCGCCTTACCAACTAGTACACGTGCTAAAAACATACACCGTTCACCTTTTGTATTAGGTGTTGCAAAGGAATGACTGTAACACGCATTGCTTGAAAAATAGACCCCCGAGCCGTAAAGGGCACCTTAACAAAAGTGAAAGGGCATAATTATTTTTTATGCTGAGGAATTGCATCACTCACCATGTTTTCCTACAAAAGAGCGATTGAAATGATTTGATTGAATGATAAGATCGGCTGAAGCTTCTGGACAACCGTGAAACAGAAACTTTTCTGTGTCTATTTTCAAACGTTCCTGGAAATCCTTCTTATGCGCTTGATATCCAGTGTACCATCTTTTAATTTGTAAACGTTCGATTAGAATAACTTGAGCATACTTGCTACTGTCCATTGTTTCTTTAAATTTATTAAGTACAAGATTGTAGTCTGGTAACTGTGGATGCAATGGAAACCGCCAGGTATTACCAAAATGAAGTGCCCAGTTTGGTGGCTTTTCAAAATCTGTCCGTGTTACATGGCGCTGGCGTTGATTATTCGAACATATTTCAAGCATGTTTTGAAATTTTATTTCACATTTTTCATTTGATTTTTCATTTGTGAAATGTACCTATTAAGACCAAAAAGAATTATATGTCTCACGAACATACATATGCATGTCTGTATAAAATTACCGATGAAGATTTTGCTAAATAACTATCCTCAATTTCAGCATTGTTTCTCAGCGAATATTCTTCCCACGTATCTTCGTTTATTTGATACGCCCAAAGAATATGACGAGCAACTGTTTCCCATCGCAATTGGTCTTTTATTTGACTATTCAAACGCCAGAATTCTTTTTCCGATTCTGAAACTTTCGCATTAGGTCCAAACAATTTCACACGATTGTTCTTGACTTCAAACTCAGGCAGAACTTGTATATCTAAGCAATATTTATAATATTTGTTTATTATGTATATTATTTTACGATGAGATAATATTGTATCTTTGCGTAGGTTACAGAAAAACATTGTAAGAACTTCTTTATAATCTTTACCTTGGTCGTACGCGTAAACTATCTCCACCCTGGATCTGGATCATGAAGATGGCGCTCTAATTCAGTCGGTCCCACTCATTAGTGTCAAAACTATCGCTTTTTCTGTAAAAAATTTTCTGTAGTCCCTTTTGAGAACCTCTAGAAATCCTAAAAATATGCTTATCGGATTTAACATCAAAATTCAAACTTTTGTTGAAGAATAACTTGTAAGTAACATTGCTAGAAAACTGATGTTGAAGTTATTTCATCGACAACTATGTTGGTTATGACAACGACATTGGTGCGATACATACCAGTGATATGCAGGGAGTCTTTACCCTACCCTAGCCGGCAGAGTAAGGTAGAGCTAGAGCTCCGAAGTCACAGAATGCGGTAGAGTCAGGGTTTTGTTTAAGAAAGATGGATTATATCTGTGCTGACTTTCAACAGAGAAGTCAGTCATTAGCGATATCTTTTGTTTGACCCCACCAGTAACTTCGTAAAGAATATTCACTGCCAGTGGATGAGTTTTAGACGAGCGTCAATAAAGACTGGCCAGAGAAACGCTCGATTACATTCTGTTGATAAAATATTTTAAAAAGAATGATGACTTTCATTGATGCAACTGATTTACAGTAAACAAAATAAAGAAATTATTACCAATTAAATTGTCAAAATTTTCAAAGAGTAGGACCAGGGCTCTAAAATCATCTTTAGTCTCAGGCTAAGGTGGGATCAGTCTTCACTACCAGAGAGTACGGTAGTGCTAGGACTCAACAAACAGCTAACCTGCTTGTCTCTAATATATACGTGCCTACAGTTTCAAAATTGTCCGAGATGTCTATACCATTTTTCAAGAAAATAATAATAGTAAAATGCACAAAGAAATTAGCCTCAGCAATTAGCCGCGTGCTTATTGGAATAATTTTCTCCAAAAAGTTTCTTCAGATTCACTTACTTGCAGATGGATATGTAAATTCATTTTGTGCGTTTTCTGATAATGCAGCAAGCTTTTTATAAAATTGTTCATAAACATTTGTTTGTGTTGGTAAGAGAATGAATGATACTCGAAAATTTGATTTGATTTGTAGTAGTTGATTCTTTGCTTCCTCAATCATTTCGTTTGCCACAAGATCAAACTTACATCCTATTAAACCGCAGCCGATGGCTGGAAAAGCGATACTGGTATACTTTGCA